TTAATAATAATACCAATATCAATAATGATAACAATAATAACACAACAATGATATTCATACTAATGATAACAATAATAATAATAGTAATAATAACTACGACAATTGTAATAGATATGATAATGATTATTATTAGAATCATGATCATTATTGTAATGATGATAATAATAAAAATAATGACAATAATGATACTGATAATGATACTAGTAATACCAATGGTAATAATAAGATTTGTATTAATAATTACAATAGTAATCATGATAGTGATAATATTGATAATAATGATAACTGTGATACAAAATGATAATTATACTAATAATAATGTCGTATTTCCATTTTTTTCATATACAAACTAAGATATTTTCTTACTAAATTTCTGCTTCAATTTGTCAAGTTCAATACTAATACAAATGATAGAAATATCATTTCGGTATTGGACTGTAAGGAAACAGGACATAGAAACACTCTTACTCAATCTTTTTCTTAATCTGTATCAACATAGAATATCACAATGTACTTCTGAACAATGTAGACTATAAGAAAAATAAGAAATATTCTCATCTACTAAATCAAATTCTAAGAAGTGTTTACACCTTCCTTTTGGCTACTAATTTTAACAATAATATTAGGATGAATATAATAAAATTTATTTCCGTTATTTACTTGGATGAATAAGTAATCAATAATTTCCTTCAAACTTTCCCAATTTTCCTTTGCTACACTCTACTTTGATCTTTAATTCCATTCCCAATTCATTCCTTGGCACGATCTTCTTCGACTAATCCCATTGTATCCCCCCCCACACAAATAATAATCTACAAACATTGGCTGGCGAGAGAGAGAGAGAGAGAGAGAAGAAGAGAGAGGAGAGAGAGAGAGAGAGAGAGAGAGAGAGAGAGAGAGAGAGAGAGAGAGAGAGAGAGAGAGAGAGAGAGAGAGAAAGAGAGAGAGAGAGAAAAAAAGAGGAGAAGAAAGAGAGAGAGAGGAGGAGAGAGGAGAGAGAGGAGAGAGAGAGAAGAAGAGAGAGAGAGAGAGAAGAGAGAGAGAGAGAGAGAGAGAGAGACAAGAGAGAGAGAGAGATGAGAGAGAGAAAGAGAAAGAGAGAGAGAGAGAAGAGAGAGAGAGAGAGAGAGAGAAGAGAGAGAGAAGAGAGAGAGAGAGGAGAGAAAGAGAGAGAGAGAGAGAGAGAGAGAGAGAGAAGAGAGAGAGAGAGAGAGAGAGAGAGAGAAAGAGAGAGAGAAAGAGAGAGCAGAGAGAGAAGAGAGAGAGAGAGAGAGAGAGAGAGAAGAGAAAAGAGAAAAAGAAAGAGAAAGAAGAGAGAAAGTGAGAGAGAGAGAGAGAGAAGTAGAGAGAGAGAGAGAGAGAGGAGAAGGAGGAGAGAGAGAGAAGAATGATGAAGAGGAAGGGGGAGAGGAAGAAAGAGACGAGGACAAAAGAGAAATAGAGCAAGCGAAAGAGGAAAGAGAAGAGAGAAGAGAAGAGAAAGGATAAGAGAGAGCAGAGAGATGAGAGAGAGTTGAGAAGAGCGGGATGAAGAAGAGAGAGAGGATGCGAAGAGAGAGAGAGAAGATGAGATGAGAAAGAACAGCAAAGAAAAGAAAGACAGAGAAGACAGAGAAAGAGAGGAGAGTCACCGAGAATGGCAGAGAGAGAGAGAGAGAGGCGAGAAGGAGAGAGAAGAGAGAAGAGCTGGAGGTTTTGAGAGTAGAGAGAGAGAGAGAGAGGGAGAGATGAGAGAGAGAGGAGAAGAGAGAGAGAGTTGAGAAGCGAGGAGACGAGTAGAGAGAGGACGAGAGAGAGATGGGAGAGAGAGAGAGAGAAGAGGGAGGATGAGAGCACGGAGAAAAGAGGAAGAGAGAGAGAGAGAGAGCAGAGATGAGGAATGAGAGAGAAGAAGAGAGAGAGAGATTGAGGAGGGAGAGTAGATAAATAGGAGAGAGAGATGAGAGAGAAGAAAGATAAAAGAAAAAGAAGTATAGAATGAAGAAAGAGAGGAGAGGGATAAGAATAAGAAAGAGAAGAGAGAGGGGAGAGAGAGAGCGCGC